ATTTGGGTGCTCATAAAGAGCACTCTTTTCTTATCTGTCTTGTTTCTCTTTTGGAACTGGGACATCCCTTTTCTCCTGAGCTTGAACTTCTGAAAATATCCCCAGACTTTTGGGACTTGCACTAGCAATGACTTAGGTTTTCAGGCCTTTAGCCTCTGAGTTACCCACTGAAGTTCCTGTTTTCTTTCACTGAACTGTGCTACTAGCTTTCTTGGGTCTCCAGTGTACATGGGACTGTTTATATTCCATAACTATGTGATCTGATTTCTCCAATATATCTTCTCTCCCATATCTGCGTTCATGTTTATATATCTCTTGTGCCATTCTTTATACTACCTATCTTACCTATCCTTCTATTATCATATATCTATGAATTGTGGGAATTTAAATACTTTTTAAAAGATTAATTAAGCAATGAATGAATTTCTCTATAATGTCTCCCCAAATCTTGTCTCTAGGTAATGGCAAGAGGGAATGTCATTAATACTAATGTCCATACTTTGGTATAATTTTGCCATTTAGAGTTTGTAAGTAAGTGACTGTAGAGATAATGTTATGCAGCTCCCCTGTGTCCATCTTTCTCTGACACATGAGAATTATGCTCCTGCTAAGCTGGCCTCATGCCCAGATTCAACGGACTGTACGACATCGATTTTAGCAGGGCAAGATGCCAACCAAAGACCATTTGGGAAGAATTTCCCACACTAGGCAGAAAGTGACACCTCATATGCAAGCTTACGCTGCTCTCAGTGGTGAGTGATGCTAAATGGGCTCCATTTGAGACTGCTCTGTGGGAGATTGCACCTGGGCATTCGGGAACATGACATCAACAGCCAGAACTGCTTGTTGCGCAAATCCCAGCGGAGACTAACCTAGAAAATCCACCCTTGCAGCAAGAAACCAGTTTGCAGCCCCTCATTATATGCTGCTTCCTTGAAGGAGTTTTCTCTTTGGCATTTGCTGATTTCAAAGCTACCTAAAGTTCAACATCTAGCAATACTTGTGTTATTTTATTGTGTTATTTTTGGTTTTCCAGCAAAGGTGAATATACAGTCAAAATATTTTAAAAATGATACCTAAGAGATGACAGCAATGGAATGGAAATACCTTTTTTTCTTTCTTTCTTAAAATGAGTTTTTTATTGTGAAAATATTATACAGAGGGGTTACAATTACATGAGCAAAGTAATGAGCAAGCATTGTTGCCTCCTCCTTTGTTTTCCCCTATCATCCCTTCGCTCCCATCTCCACAACTACACCCTCCTACCACCCCATCTAAATTGTAAAGTTTGTTTTTCAACATAGCATCTTGTACATCTCATTGTTGCAATGGATCAACCTGTATCCCTATTTAAACAATTTGTTTTTTCCCTTCCTCTCCCCAAATTATACCAACATCAAATACAGTGAAAACAGGTTATACTGTGGGGGAGAGACATACAAAGCAACAAAAAAAGTCATGTGGTAACTTATAAATACGTTAGAAACAATAGCAAAAAAAGAAAAAATCACTTGTGTCCTTATCTTGGGGTTCATTTCACTTATTATCTTATCTGATCTTTTCTGCTTGTCTCAGACATATGCTAATTATTGCAAATAAGGAAACCATGGGACCTATGTTTCTTTGGGCCTGGCTTACTTCACTTAATATAATTTTTTCCAAGTCTTTCCATTTCCTAACAAATGGGGCAATATCATTCTTTCTGATGGAGGCATAGAATTCCATTATGTATATTCCACATTTTCTTGATCCTGGAATGGAAATATCTTAATCAACCAATAATTTCCTCACCAAATAATCGAACTATGGCAGAAATCTGCTTGTAACACAATAAGAATTTTGTAGAAAATGCTGAAGGCTGGATTTGAGCAGGTATAAATATGAGAATCTTGACCAAATAGGTCTTATGTAGTACCTTAGGACCTGTCACAGTGATCTCTAGTGGCTACCCTGATGACCTTTCTGATCTGACTCACATATTGATTTTTTTAGAAAGAATAATACCTGGCTTTTCCAAGATAAAGTATCTGCTTTCTGTTGTTGTGGTTATTGTTGATTATTTTGTTGAACTTTGCTGATTTTCATGAACTTATTTGTTTCCTCAATGAAAGTTCCTTGAAGAAGACAATCCTGTCTTGCTTTCCTGATATGTCCCTAGAGCTGAGCACACTGTCTACAACAGAATATGGACAAAATATGGGGGGTGAGTTGAAATGGGCAATGAACCAGAGTTCATTACAGCAGATGAGAGGGGAAACAAAAAAATGTTTTATCCCATTGCTCATACACCACGAAGCATTATATCTCTGATGCCAGATATTAGGATTATTTGTTCACATTCAAGCAAGTGGTAAGAGGCAGTGGTATGAGGCAGATCACTAGGGGGAAGAGCTCAATGCCACAAGAACACCCCTGCTCCCGATGCCAGTCATAGCTCTCTGGCTATGCTCTTTGCTTCTAACCAAGTAGCTATGAATTGAGAATTCTCAGGATATCCTACCAGGTTGTATTCATTTCTGTGAGTATCTCATAGAACTCAGAGAAACACTTTGCTTATATTAATGTTTTATTATTCAAAGAAGTAATATGGAGCCCACAGGTATAGCCAGATGAAGCAATTCAGAGGGTGAAGTCAGGCACTAATTTTGAGCATATTGTAGTGAACAAGATATAGAAATTCTTTGTTCTCATGGAAAGTCTATCTTCATAAAGTGGAAGAGACATAGAGTTGAACAAATAAAATGAAAGAAATAAGTAAATAAATGGTCAGAGCTATCTACAGAAATGGCATGATGCAATGTGACAGGGTGTGTGGACAGACTGTCTGAAGAGTGGTCAGGTGGAAAGTTGGATACAATTAGTGGAGCTACACAACAGCAGCGAGGAGGGAAAGTCTGAGTGAGGATGGATGACCCACATTGGTGACAGTGCTGTTACTGTGAGGGGTCAGTCAGCCCTTGGAGAATTGCATAGTCTGTTTAATCTGGAAGGTTATCAACAAGGTATACAGGGCAGAGGGAATTAGGAAAAAATAACCTTACGAATGGGAACAAAAGCCTTGAATGGAACTGAAGGCCATCTCTGCCAGTGGATGAGGGGGAAGTCCCTTTATCCACTGGTAGGAAGCCAGGTTGAGACTTTGCTCTACAAGGTGCAAAGTTATCTGGGTTACAATACCAAGTGTAGATGCAGATTCTCACAGGCAATGAGGTAGCAAAATAGAGAGACTCTGCTTTTCAGGAGAATGAGCTCCCCTGACACACTCTGTCATCATCCATGACTTTATCCCTTAGAGAGGATGCATGAGCCAAGAGATGCACGATTTTTCCACTCCACATATACACCTGCTCTTAAAGCTGCTAAGAAAATTTTCTCGCTCCTAGGGTGGAACAGAAAGCAAAAGATGCTGTCAGTGTTTTAAAAAATATTATCTCTGGCTCATATTTCTTGCATATTTATTTCTCAGTGTCATTTCCTTAGAGAGTCTAATTGTTATCATCCCATCTACAATATTCCTTTCAGCCCATTCTTTATTCTTTCTTTATTACTTAATTTTACATTTTGAAGAGGAGAGCTTGATTGAAAATTTTACATGAACTTCTACGTGAGTTGAAGGGTTACCTCACTAATCTTCAATTATCTCCTAATACATGAATTTAAGATTATGAATTTCTATCAAGTATGGTATCAACTGTATCCCATTATTTCCATTTGTTCTTATGAGTTTATTTTTGGCAATACTGGAGTTTGACCTCAGGAACTCAAATTTATTAGACAAGGTGCTCCTGTCTCCAAAGAATATAAGATCTGTGTACAAATCTTAGTCTGTGCTGACAGAAATCAAAAGCCTAGAAAATAGCGGTGTAGCTCAAGTGGTAGAACACTAGGCATAAGTGAAAAAGCAAATGAAAATGCAAGGCCATAAGGTCAAGCCTCAACACTAGCACACATAGACAGACACACAATTGAGTTCTAGCCATGGATCTAGTGAGATAGTGCCAGGTGAGCAAGTGAAAAGCTGTGAGATAGAACTCTCAGTAGCACCCCTCCCTCAAACTAAATTGCAATTTAAGCCTGTCTTTGTACGCAGAGGGAAACTAGCTGAGAGTGGATTAGTCAGCCTTCTGTGAGTCAGGGTTCGTGTGACTCCACTGGGCCTTCTAGGATATTCCAGGTCATCTCTATGTTCCAAAATCTGTAGTCATAATTATATAAGTAAACTCTCTTTCTTTTTTCATTGGGTATAACTTGTCTCATCATCTAGCCTCTGCTCCCCAGCAAAAGACCTCGGGGGAAACAGTATGATGAACAGTAAGATGAACGCGCTGTTCTAAGTGGAAGCTTTCTCAACAGCTCATTGGATTGGACTAAATGATGTGGCTAGTCTAACAGTTTCTGGATGAGGGCAAAGATGGTAACAGTAAGAATAACATTAGCTGTGATTAAAGAATTGAAGTGGAATGGTCCAATTGATTGGCAGATATGTGGGAGGTGGGTCATCTGAAATGTAGTGATTGAAAAGTGACAAATAATTAGCCATTGAATATATTCTACGTCATAGCTACTATCTCTTACCCTATCTGAAAGATTATATGCGGCAAGACCATATATGGATGTACGCTTACACACACACACACACACACACACACACACACACACACACACACACACACATCTATATGTGTGATGCTAAAAGCACTCTGAGCAATATGATTTAGCTACCCAAACAGAGAGTAGTAAAAGTACAGATGATGTAAAAAGGCTTTTTATGCCTAAATTATGTCCTTTTGACTAGGGAATGAAATAGGCAATTCTAAGCTATATGCTTACCTTCTGCCATGGGTTTTATGTAGATTAAAAGTGTGTATTCTTTTAGAATGAGGCAGTTTGTGACTGAGGAATTTCTTATTAGCCTAAACAACTATTTTACAGGATAATATATATATATATATGTTTATATATGAATAATCAAAATTGCAATTTTCATTTTTATTGCACAGATGGTAGAAATGAAGTATGTCATCCCAAGACATGAACTGAGTCTGTACAGGTAATTTATTTTCATCAATTTGTCCCTGGAAGAACTAGAAAGAAAAAATACAAAGGACAAGTGATGTGCCCAGACCAAAAGGCCGTGTTTCTGGTTCATGTTTTGAATTTTGCAAAGTATCTGGTGTGAACTGATTTGGTGATTGCATGATGAGAAATTCTTCTCTCAATATGGACATTCTTCTGGACATTTCAGGGCACTGAAGTTCATGTTGTAGAAGGAATAGAATAAAGTATTTTGAGATAGGAAAAAGATGGCACAAAAACACAATAAACATTTGGGAGAAAATGCATTCGCCAGTGTTTATAACTAAACAGGAAGATGTGCTTTAAGATTTTTGGTGGAATCCCTATTTTACTTACTCTGCCTCTTTCTTTTTCTCATCAGGAACAGACTATTTTTATGCTATAATACTTAAAGGTAACATGACTTTCTACTGAGATGTAAAGGATAGATTTCATGGTTCCAAAAGTGATAACATACAGCGATCTTGCCGGCATTTATAACCAGAATTGCTTATTTTGTGGTTAAGCCAGTGGGAGGAAAGTAAGAGCACCAAGAAAAGAGGCCGTTTGGGTGTGACAGTGAGAAGTTTCATAAACAACAGAGGAGGGAAAGATTGATTGCCAAAGGCTGACAGTAATGTGGACCTGAACTTGGCACTCAGGTGAGTATCAGGACACTGCACCTCCCAGTTCCCAGCTCCCTGTCCTTCCCATCCATGCACATATGCAGCCTGTATTTGTGTGAGTCCTTCCTATGAGCTTGCACTAAAATTCTAGGTGGAATGGTGGGCTTTGAGGGAGCACTGAAATGATCAAAACAAATAAGAAAACCAGGTAGGTCCTATCTGAAAATGACTCCTAAAGCAATCAGTGTGGGATAAGGGGGAGGGATGGAAGAAAAAGAAAATTTTCAAACATTTTCCTTCTTCTGAAAGCATCAAAATCAAGGAACAGGGAGGCTTTGGGGGAGCAGGGAGAAGTCTTACCTATTAAACATGAGTGGAGTAAATGACTTTAGAAGGATAGGAACATTATTTTTGTATTTTCTAGAAATGTGTCAAGAACTATGAGTATCTCTGTATGCAAAACTTCACCCAAAATAGGTCACATGAGTAAAGGAAATGTTATTAAGAAAGCTGACCTGCCTATTGACATTTATTTAACTATCACAGAAGAAAATGTACATTGGCAAGAGATTCTCTGGAAGAAAAATGTGCCTGATTTCTATCCATAAGAAAAGGAGACCGATTCAAAGCCAAGGAGTATTCTTGGATTGATCTTTCATAATGCCTTAATTTAGCTAGCTGGGGAAATGCTCGTTGTGAGCATAAAATTATTCAAGCCTTCAAAAGAAATGTTTTTTTCTTTAATTATGGCTTTAAATCTGGAATTAACTGTAATGTTGTCTTTATATGAGTTTTCTAAAATAACATCTCTTTCTTAGTGAATTTATTTATGAAGGTACTGATTGTATAAAGGGGAAGTGAACTAGTTTCTATGTGCTTAGCAAATAGACCATAACAAGGACTGGAGGAATTTTTACCAAAATTATGAGTTATAATTCCCTAGGTATAAATCATCATGGCCATTCCTCAAAACCTTAATGTTGAATAAAATAGCAAGTGGCAGAAAGATATGTATAGTATCTTATTTCTGGATGTCTATATAAGTATGAAAAATCTGAAAAACATGTATTATGCTACTGCTTGCCTTGTAGAGGGTGGTGCCTGTGAGGCAGAGAATAAAGAGAATTAAGAAATGAGGTTGTGAGTTGTTGAGGAAAGCTTCAGATCTTGTCTTATTTTCCCTTTTATTTCCTCTCTCCTTCTCTTTCTTCCTTTCTTAACGAATGCAAACATAAGTTGCTTGTAAGACTGTGCTTAAATGTACATATATCTAGGGGAAAGATAATTAAGTGAAACTATATATGTATGTATGTATTGCATACATAACTGTGTATATATCTATATATCTATATCTCTCTATCTTTTAATGTTCACTGTATTTGAGGTTGGTATTGTGACAACCATTGATCGCTTATAAATCTACTAGGTATTCCTTGCAAGAGCGTAAGTGACGATCAGAAGGAGAAAAACAAAGCAAATCTATAGTTGATTGACGAGGGCAAGAGTAAGAATATGGAAACAGTTGGGAAGAAAATACAGAAGAGATAAATGATATAGGGAAAACTGATTGAAGAGATTGTAAGCAAAGAGAGTAATATGGACAGTCAAAAGCATATTTCATATCCCAAGGCAAATCGACTGAATTATCTTTAGTATCTTTCAAGTTATCTTGCAAGTATCTTCAGTTATCATGCACAGCAAGTATTAAACATTTTTAATTTAAAGCAAATAAATGTTATAAAAATGCATTACATAAGACTATAGAGAAAATGAATTTGTAACATCGGCTTGATCTGAGGCATTTGTGTAGTGGACTTAACTGAACATTCTTCTGTGTGTGTTTACTGTGAAATGAGTGTGCAGGGAAGACATTGACTCAGAGGGTGTGGGAACATGACCTGCCAACAGGGGCTTTGATGTGTGAACCTAGACATCAGCAATACAGGAACAGATACTCCTTTCTGGTTAAAACACAGCTTTTGTCTAGAAAAATTCCCCTCTAGCAATACATAGACTAAAGAGAAAATATTAATAGGACTGGCGAGGGCACAAAGTCCCAGTTTCTGTAGCTTCTGTAGCTGATCCTTGGTTTATAGTCTCAGGCTGTCCTAGCTATTATGAGCAAAAGCCACGTAAGAGAGGCCATGTGAGGCCAGAAGCGGGTCGGGCAGGGAGCACATATATTTGTTAGATCAAATTTGATTCTTAGGTTTCATGTTTCTGTGGCTCTTCTTTTCTATGCAAGGGCTGTTCCCATCTCATCCTAGTGCTTCGAATGAAAATAGATGAGTCTGCATGTATACATTATCTTGAAGGTCTTTCCTACCCACTTTCCTCTTCCCTTAACTGGCTCTTGTTTCCAGTGAATAATAAAGTTTGGATATAGAATTAGGAGAACTGGGGGTGAGATAGTAGATACTCCAAAGCAAGGGAAGGAACTAACAAGAGCTAGTGAGAAATTATCGTTGGTGTGTCAGTGCAGATGGCTACCACACTAAGTGGGTTTTGTACTGTTGAGCAGCTATTAAAGCGGAACAGAGCAAAAACAGAGCCCCTTGTGGAGCGTAGAAACCATGCTGAATAAATCATGGTTTTGAAACATGACCTAATTTTCCTTTCAGTAAAATTTTGTGTTCTAACAGAAGAGGTTTGGAGGACAATGCTATATGTGATTTCCTGAAAACAATGAGAGGTTCTGCAATATAGACACATCTAATAATATATGTGAATTCTTTAGCAAAAACAAACATGAGGTTTTATTGATAAGCTGATGTAGTGCAGGAACTCTAGACCATATTGATTTTAATAAAACATTATGTGGTTTAATTAAATCATTAATTCTACCCTCAGTTTCATTTTTCAAAAGATACTCAATGTAAAAATGAAAAGGTTTCTTATTTTAGGTGGTTTTCTCTCCTTCATAATTCATTAAAATGCGTCTATAGATTGACTTATTGCTATTCTGCCACAGTGCCCTTGCTGATATTTTAAGATAGTACTTTAAGCAGGATTCAAGGAGGTATCGATCTTAAGGTGACATCTTCTTTCACTTTTCATAAAAGGAGAGGGATTGTTTTTGTTCTCCTTTTTAGAAAAACCTTTATAATGCTTATGAGTCTGGAGGTTTATGTCACATATTCTTACAATACTAATAAAACACTTAATGGGCTTTTTTGTCTGTTCTTTGAGGAAATTTTATAAAAGACACAAGCAATCTAAAGTGCATGTTAGTTACCATGTGTTAACTTTGTAAAGTATTTTTTTATTTTATGAGAGTAATGAATCATGATTTGAAATCATAAGACTTGCTAAGAGAATTATTACTCTTTTGTTTCATCCTCCCTCTACTCTAATCCCCCTGCCTAGGGGCATTTATTTCTTCAAGTTTACATCTCTCTTTATTTTTTTTTTCATATTCTGTCTTAGTGCAAATCTTCTAAAACAGACTTACCTATGTGATAGGTTATTTGATCAGCTTAAGGGAAGGGAGGCTGAGGATAAAGGAAAGTAAGGTAATGCCATCAATAAAGCACCACAGCAGATGCCTAGTATTACATTACCTTCACATGTGGACTTTTCCATTCAGGCTGTGATGCCTATCACCACCCACAGGTAAAAGTAAGAGTGGTCTGTGTGCCTTCCTGTGTCTCTAGGTCTAATCCATACTTGAATATCATGACATCCAGTCCCCTGCTGTGTTTGTCTCACAGAATGACTTATTCCACTCCTTATGGTATTGCATTCCATTGAAGTCCAGGAGGAGAAGTAGAACCTAGCATGACCAGGCTTAGCACTGGGGTGGATGGGTCATTCGGGATCTAGATCTCATTTTATTCCTGCTCATTGGGAAGCTTGGTAGAGGTATGGGTCCCAATTCAACCCTAGGTATAGAAAGCAGCTTCAGAAAAAGGAATGTAGGGGTAATACAAGGAACTATACAATATCCATACATCTTTTCCATTAATTATCAAGTTAATACACTTCTATATGAGCCAATGAATGCAATTATCCCTTAATATTTGTGGAAGAAAAGTTCCAGAAAATCAGTTACTAAATTTACAAATGCTCAACTCCCTTATATAAAATGGCATTGTATTTGCGTATAACCTATGCACATCTTCCTATCCCTATGCATTTACTGACTAGTTCTACTTCTTAGAAAGAAACAGAGGGATTGCTTGCCAAACTTAGGAGTTCTGTTTCCCTATGTCTATATGAGTCAACAACAGAAGCTCAAAACTTTGGTGATGAGTAAAAAAGCAAGTATGCTATTTCTCTCTTCATATATATATATATATATATATATATACACACACACACATATATAACATTTATAAACATAAAAATTTAGAGTAAAAAGTTTTACTGATTTTTTTTTGATGTGGAGGAGTTTCCTCTAGATTACTTGTAATACTTAATATAAAATACATGCTATGCAAATAGTTTTGATAAAATATTATTGAGAGAATAATGATAAGAAAAAGTCTGTGCATGTTTAATACAGATATAATTATTTCTGAATAATTTGATCCATACAGCTTATTCTATAGCTGTGGAACTCTTGAATGTGACTATTATGACTCTCTTACAACCCATTTTCACTCCATTGGAGTTATATACCAATTTTGTGTTTTAAATAATAGCCAAAGTTTGTATTATTATGACTAGGTAAATTATGTGTATTAGCAATAATGTAATTATGATTTCTTTTTTATGTAACTCTTAATTTTGTTCAAATTATCATGTTTGCAGTTACATTGTTTTTCTAAGTACTTGTTCTGGCTTTATGCATTTTAACTGGCAATGATATTTTGCTAAATCCGCACATACATACAGTCTTTTAAATTGCTATTTTATCTCTAGCCCTGGATCCTCCTGCTTTAAGATGGACTGACTCCTATCCAGCTAAATGATGAGAAATCCTTGCTTTCTGTGATCTCATTGTAACTTGTTGTTCATTAACTCCCTTGTTTTGCTTGAGTGTATCTTTCAAAGAGAAATGTGGTAGACATTTGCAGTTCCCACCACATAACTAG